GTTGTGCGGTGTGTGCGCGGGGTGTGTATATGTGTGTGTATATGTGTGCGTATATGTGTGCGTATATGTGTGTGTCCGTGCGCGCCCCCCCCTCCCCCCGCCCCACGAGCTCCCCCCGCGCTGGAAAGGCGGCGGCGCTCCGCGGCTCGCGGCCGGCAAAACCGGGGAGCGTGGAAGGCGCAAGGTGCAGGGTGTGCGTGTGTGTGAGCGCGGGGGGGCGGCGGGGGGAGACTGCATGCGTGCGTGTGTGTATATGTGTGTGTGTGTGTAGGAGAGGAGGGGGAGCGAGCCCCGTCCGCCCCTTATAAGAGACACAATCCTCAGCCACTTTTTTGCAAAAGGGGCTTTGCAAAGCAGCCTGCGCACACGCGAGCGCCACGAGCCTCCCCGCGGCCGCCGCACGGAGGGCGAGAGGGAGGGGGGCGGGCAGAGCCGCCCGCCGTACCCGCCGCCCGCCCGGCTCCGCCGCCCGCTCCCCTCGGTCGCCGCCGTCCCTTTTCCCTGCCGTTCGTCCGTCGCCTTGCTCCTTTTTTTTTTTTTCCTTTAAGTGAACGTCGCAAATTTTTTTTCCTTTTCGTTTTCTCGATTTTTTTTTCTTTTTTGGTGGTGGGGGCATCGGGACCGGCCGCCGCTCGGGCGCCCCCGCCTAGCAGAGGACGCCCCCGCGCCCATGGCCAGCGGCAGCCCCGCCAGGATGTCCAGCGCCGCCGGGCAGCCGCCCTTCCTGCAGCCGGCGTGCTTCTTCGCCGCCGCCGTGGCCGCCGCCGCCGCTGCCGCCCCTCCGGGGCCGCCGCCGGGGGCGCCGCCGCCGCAGCTGAGCCCGGCGGGCGGACAGCCCTCCCCGGGCGGCAAGCCCTCGGCGCCGCGGGCGGCCAAGCGGCAGCGCTCGGCCTCGCCGGAGCTGATGCGCTGCAAGAGGCGGCTCAACTTCAGCGGGTTCGGGTACAGCCTGCCGCAGCAGCAGCCCGCGGCCGTGGCGCGGCGCAACGAGCGGGAGCGCAACCGCGTGAAGCTGGTGAACCTGGGCTTCGCCACGCTGCGGGAGCACGTCCCGAACGGCGCCGCCAACAAGAAGATGAGCAAGGTGGAGACGCTCCGCTCCGCCGTCGAGTACATCCGCGCCCTGCAGCAGCTGCTCGACGAGCATGACGCCGTCAGCGCTGCCTTCCAGGCCGGCGTCCTCTCGCCCACCATCTCGCCCAGCTACTCCCACGACATGAACTCCATGGCGGGCTCTCCCGTCTCCTCCTACTCCTCCGACGAGGGCTCCTACGACCCGCTCAGCCCCGAGGAGCAGGAGCTGCTCGACTTCACAAGCTGGTTCTGAGCTCCGGCCGCCCCGGCGGCAGGTGGGTACGCGCCCGCGGAGGGCCGGGGGGAAAGCGGGGGACGGACGCGGGGCGGCGGGGGCGCAGCCACCGGGGGAGGGGACGCAGCCGGGGTGCCCCCGCGGGCGGGCTCCGCGTGTCCCGCGGTACTTACGGGCGACTCCGCGGCCCGGTGCTGCGCTGGTCCCGGCGCGGCTCTGATCTCCTCTCTCTTTTATTGTTACAGGACAGTTACAAAAGGGAAAAAAAAATAAAACAAAAAGCAGACAAACAAACCCAACACAAAACCAGATCGCACACAGAGAGACAGAAATCCACCCAGAAAAAGAACCTGTTGCGTTTCCAGCTCCCCCGCCGTCGGAGGGCGGTGCGGGCACGTCTCTCGGCGGGCGGGCACAGCGCTGCGCGCCGCGGGGGCGGTCGGGGCGGCCGCCCCCGGACCCCGGCCGGCCTTTGCACTCCGTCGCACTGCCACGGACAGCGCCCCGGCGGAGAGGGTGTCCGGCGAGGGAGCCCCGGGCCGCGGGAAGGGCGCTGCGCTCCTCGGCCGGCGGAGGAGCTCTTCTTCCTCCTCCTCCTCCCCAGCAGAAAGGCGACCCCCCCGCACCTCGCCGCCGCTGCGGCCCTTCAGAGACTGGCGTTCATCACCTGTGGACAAAGTTAGTTTCCCGATGTTTGTGGAGATGTTGAAGTTAAGCTATGCTGTACTCAAAGAAGTCCCTGGAGCTCCGTCTACCCCCCACCTCCCTGCGCCTCTCCCTCCCCTCGCTCCAAGCTTTTCCTCTCGTTTCTATCATAGAATGCTTCCAATTTTTTTTTGTGAATTTTTTATGATAAGAAAATCTATTTGTATCTATCCTAACCCGGTTGGGGATATATTAAGCTATTTTTGTACATAAGAGAGAGAGAGATTTATAGAGGTTTTGTACAAATGGTTTAAAATGTGTATATCTTGATACTTTTTTTAATATGTAATGCTTATTACCTCTTCATGTTTAGACTTGTAGTCGACGTTACCTTACAACTGCCATTTTTGTATGTGGTTTTGTAAAGGACTTGGATTTCCTCCAGATGTACTTTAGCACCAACGTGTCTTACTTTATAGAAACTTTGTTAATGTATTAATAATGTTATTAAACAATGTTCAAAGTGAACAAAGTTTATGCAGCTATTGTCCAAACGCAAAACGGTAGCCATTTGTTTTTATATGCTGCCTTTTGAAAAAAAAAAAAGAAAAAAAAAAAGCAAAAACACACAAACAAACAAAACCCCTACATCACTGCCTTTTCTTACTGTTTTATTACAGACTTACAAAGGTCCTGTATAACCCTGTTTTATATAAACTAGTTTCGTAATAAAACTTTTTTTTAATTAAAATTATCAGCTGCCTACCGCATGCAATTTTTTTTCTTTCTGCCATTGACAATGAATGTAAGGACAGAATGTTAATTGATGTTATACCGGAGCTAAGTTGCATATGAAGTGTTTGTATCTGATGGATGTAACATATATATCTTTATCTATCTCTATATAAATATGCAAAGATCTAGCGCTATCACCATTGTTTTCTTGCCCTTCTGTGTTGCAAATGTGTATCCAATTCAAAAGGCGAGGGAATGATTAATGATTGCATTGTGCTTCCTGAAATCACTGCACATTAAAGAATTCCCCCGAAAGCCCAAGTATTAAAAAAAGAGGGCGCTCCATCCCGCGTTTCGGCGGTGTGACCCTGTCCTGCTCCACTGCTGTGACCCAACGGGGCTGAAAAACACGGGGGATAGCACAGTCGCCGCCACCCAAAACACGGGCTGCTGTGTTGCCGCTGCAAAGATAGTGGCTGAGTAAATAAAACCGTCGCGGGGAAGACGGGAAGCGAGAGGCGAAGGGAGATAAAAATAAATAAATAAATAAAGTAGTAGAAATCGGTGGCAGCTTAGAGACATTGGTCTTTCTAAGCTTGTTATTCTACCCAAATAGCGTGATCTGCCTGTAAAAGTACCCAATTACCAAGACTCAAATAGGAATTGGACTCTTCCCCCCATTCCCCGCTTTTTTTTTTTTTTTTGGCTAGCCTGCTTGTTGTCAGTTAGCAAGGACGTGACCAGAATTCGCCTTCTTTTCGCCTGGCTCCTGCATCACTTGCAAATTCAGTTTGCGTGCACCAAGCCAAGCGGAAAGCAAAGCGCAAAATGCATCTTACAAAAAAAAAAAAAAAAAAAAAAAAGGCAACAAAGAGCGGAGAGAGCCAGTGTGGTGTATGGAGCTAAAAAAAAAATAATCTAGCCAGCTCCGCTACAAATGCGCCATCGAGTTGCGAGGGATGCGCTATTTTTAAAAAAGAAGAGGGAAAAACTTTGGTGGAGGACCCCGGAATTTTCCCTGTGTGTGTGTATGTGTCACTATATATGTATATGCACAGATGCATATGCGCACATGGACATTGATACATGTGTATATCAATGCATAGTCCTTCCTGCATTGCTTTAAAAGTATACCCACATTTGCCCCTTCGCCTCCTCCCCTCATGCCCTGAAATGATCAATACGTGATTTAATCGCGGGGGGGGGGGGACGGGAAGGACGGGACGGGGGGGGACGGGACACGCTGGGGTCACGAAATCCCTCATTACTTTAGCACAAACACTCTTTGTTTTAACCGCTCGTGGAACTAATGTTTAGTTATGAAAATAATAACCGTTATATGCCGCCATCCGCTCTCCCTTTACAGCATCTCCCTTTTTATTTACCCACTTTTGCAAGTGTACAGATAAGGTATGCAAAGAAAGTGTAGCGAGTAATTTATAGCTATGAATATAACATTAGGATAATGTTTCATTCTGTTACAAAGGCGAAATTTCTCTTCCTTGTGTAGACAGGTGTTCTTTTTTGCTCACTTCTGAATAGTAAATATCCAGACTCATTAAACTAAAGGCAAAGTTACGCTGTTGTTCGCTACAATGTATAAGACAGGCTCAGAAATTCACCACCTCCTCCCTTTTCCCCTCAGCCCCCTCCAGAAAGAAAGAAAGAAAGAAAGAAAACACACACACACAATTTTACTGAAGATAGGGAAAGGGCAAAGCAGGATTGGGGTAAATCTCATTACATCTGCTCTAATCGCTTAGCAACACAAAGCCTTTTCTTGTATTAGCGCGGAGAGCCTTTCAGCGCTGCCTGACAGACAGTATTCAGTTAGCATTAGTAAACTCCATAAATCAGGGACTTCTTTGGGTGCAGTATAAGTTTTAGAACTACTCAGGATTTGGTGGGGGGTGGGGGAGGAGAAGCGGAGAGGGGTGTGTGTGCAGATGAAGGTTGCTGGGCCACGGATTTATTATTTCATGTACTACCTATGTACTTATTTATCGTAGTGCTGGAAAGGTGCCCCGTTAACAAATGCTTCTCTTATGAGTGTGTGCACCCGCCACTGCTCCCCCAAATCAAGACCCTCGGGCAGATGGGGTAGCACGGCGAGGCACCCACGGCGGCCACACTGGGCCGGGCGATGGGCAGCGCTGCCCCCGCCTCTGGTGCGAGATCCGCGCCCTCGGAGCCGGGGAGCAGCCGGCGTGGGGTATCCCCTCACTCCCCACGCCTGCTGCGCCGCTGCCTACTCCCCACAGGCCCCTCCTCTGCCCAAACTTTTTTTCCGCACGCGGGAGCAGCGCCGGCCCCGCGGAGCTTTCGCGCCCTCTCCCCCTTCCTCCCGCGCAGGTAAGAGTGGAGAGGGAAGAGCCCCCGGCCCTGCCCCCGGAAAGGGATGTGCGCACCCCGGAGAGCCTCCCGGTGCCCCAGCCCGTCTTTCTCACCGTCCCCTGGGAGAGAGGCGCCAGCAGCAGCCTTTGGGGAGCCCGTGGCTCTATCCCTCTTCCAAAAATCTTTTTTTAACTCTCTTTTGCCTTTTTTTTTGTTTTAAATTTATTTGTTTGTTCATTCCCCCCCACTCCCCCTCCATTCCTTTCTCCTTTTTTCTTTCCCCCCATCCCTCCCCTCCCCTCGGCGCAGGTCCTGCCTTTTGTGTGCGGGCTCGCAGGGGCACAAGGGGGGGCCGCCGGGGCCGGGCAGGCAGCGGGCAGCGCTGTCCCCGCGCGTGTCATGCCTCAGCCTTTATCCCGGCGGCGGCGGCGCGGCGGGGGCCCCGCCGGGCTCAGGGGCGGCGTGCGCCCTCCACAGCTGCCGCCTGCCCCGCTCCGCGCCCGCCCCGCTCCGCGCCCGCCCCGCTCCGCTCCGCGCTGCCCGGCCCGCACGCGAGGACAGCGGGCACCTGCCCAAGGCGAGGCGGGCGCGGCAGGGCGGGATGACATACAAACACATGGGACGCCCTGGCTCGCCGCTGCGCGCTGCTCCATAATGCAGCGCCTATTACTCAGTGCATTCAGGGATTAGCCCGGCTTGAAGTGTGTGGGGGATTCTGTGTCTCCCCGCTCCCCTTTCCAAGAGGCGAGGAGCGGGGAGAAGCGTCCCCCCCGGCCGCCGCCCCGGTTCGTCCCAGCGCGCAGCAACTTCTTGCTCCTAAGCGGACTCGCTCTTAGCGTGGCAGCCCGCACAATGCGGGGCTAATTCCTGCTGCAAAAGGCAAGTGGTGAAGAATCAATCGCAGTCTTTATACAATCAAAAGGGATGATGGGTTTGGGATTGGGATTTTTTTTTTTTTTTTTAGTTCCCTGCCCCGTCTGAATTTCTTCTGCTCCTTACCCCGTCCTATTAATAATCCCATGCAGGCGATTGCAGACCGAGGTAAAGCTATCATTTGTACGCGCCTGAAGATTAATTTCCCCCATGTACCAACTCAACGGCATAGTTATCTCTTTAACAGGGAAAACAGTTTGGCTCCATTGTCGGGTTGCCAAGACCGCCTTTTGAGAAAGGGAGCCCGGCTAGCCTCTGATCAAACTCAAAGGTTAGTTAAAAGACAAAAACAGCTGAAAATCTTCATGAATAATGCTGTTTCCCCGAGCCCAGTGTAGTGCAAGCGCACATTTCAATGCCAGAGCATTTTGTTATGCTGCTCGCCTAAGTCAGAATTTCACAGAAAAGGCAGAGAAGAAAAGCTCCAACAATTAGAGGGGGCCTGTCAGAAAACATTAACGCCTTCCTCGCCCAGCCTGTCAAGCGTGCTGGAAATAAAAAACGGGCATAGCGAATCGCACCTCCACCCTCCGGAGCTGCAGGAGGGAGAGGGAGGGGGGTTTGGGGACAGAGGAGTAAAGAGAGAGAGAGAGACAAATGGACAGGCCCAGGCAGTTAACAGTCCCCCTCGGCTTTGCAGTTCATCCAAAAGCTGGAAAAAGAAGGGGAAAGGACTTGCAGCTTGATGTTCTCACTTGATATTCATCCTTCTGTTTCGTGCTCCAGAATTATATTTTCTCTCAGGATCGTCACATACATACACTCACACTGTCTCTCTGCATCCTCAACCCTTTCCTGCATCAGTCCTGCAAAGCACACGAGCTACCTGGTGAAACAGCAGCACAGCAGAGCTGTTACCTCTTTTCACTTTCTTCTCCCTCCAAAGTCTCACTTTTAAAGTTTCCATGTCTGTGGCCATGCAGATGTCCAGTGTGGCTGACCTGCAGCTGTGCTAAAGCACCTCATGTCAGAGAAGCTGTGCTTATGTATAGCACCAGAGCTATCTTACTCTTTGGATTTTTTTAGGAAAATGTGTTTCAAATGTATGCCTTTAACTAGCCAGACCAACTTCCCACATGCTCGAGTCCTTTTCCCTTATTAAATACCTATGGGACAAAGACACTAAAATATTTAAAGCTTCTCCTGCACTGATGTTCATTTCTGTAAGTGAACATTCAGACCGACTTTCCCAGCTGAAGCACAGATTTTTACCAGTTATTTAAATAACAGAGCTCTGGTCCTTCTCTTACTGTAAGCAAAACCTCAGACCATCACTTAAATAGTTCTTTTCTTTTGCTCTTGTTGCCTTTGTTGTCTAATTGCAAATACATATATATGTTAATATCTGATAAGGACCACATCAGCACTGTGCAGCTCCTATAGCCTGGCTTTTGCTGGGCGGTAAAGAGTGGGGGAGAGTATACAACAGTATACTGTTTTGTATTGTAGTATTCACGTGTGTGTTGAAAAAAATAAAATTCCAGCAAAATACGAAGTGGCTGAAGAAAAGGAGTAGCTCCAAACCTCATCTGGGGTGTTTAGGGGATTAAATCTGTAAAGGGATACGGCAACACGGTTCAGACTTTGCCGATGGTTAGAGCTGT